GTTCGATTGGCTTTTAACTCATTTTTGGTTTGATTTTATTTTTATTATTAATGGTTAATTTGTACTCTTTGATACTTTTTTAAAAATTAATTAATATAACTAATTTATTCTAATTTCTATAAACCAATTTTGGAAATTATGATTTTAATATATTTCTTAATTTAATAAATCTACTTGCTGAATTAGTTAAACTAAACAAATGTTTTTTTATGAATTAACTCCTTTAATTAAGCTGATAATACGAAAAAAAAACCATAAACGCGTTGATATGGATGATTAAAGAAAAGTAGTTGCTCAAAGCCAAAAGTCAAAACTCTCCTATTGAGACGGTATTTTTAGTATCTTCGATTCCATTTTCTCGAGAAAACAACTTTCCGAGAATTTGCATATAAAAAATATTATCAATTTTATTATTATTTAAATAATAAAATTGATAAAAAATTATTTAAAAAATTATTATTTTTATATAAAATATCAATGATTTTTAATATTTCTAGAAAAGTATTCAATAATAATAAAATCAATAAAAAAATAATAAAATTAATAGCGTTTTATTGATTTTATTAACAAAACCAATAAAACGCTAAATAATAACAAAATAAATAAAAATAATAATATTTCTAATAATTTTTTTATTAATTTTATTATTTAAATAATAATAAAACTAATAACATATTTTTTAACTGTATATTAAAATTATCGCACGTCACCATTTTCTCTTACTCTCTAACTCCAATTACTTTTTTTTTATTTTCTTACTTATTTAAGTCGTAAGCTTTGGTGCCCACCGTTTTCCCAAGGAGATAAAGAATAAAAAAAATCTTAAAAAATCTCTCCTTCGCCCCTAAATTGATACAACATTTTTATTCAGTGAGGGAGAAAGAGTAGACAAGTCTTCCATAAATTTCCTTCCGAGTTCTCGTACTTCCCTTCTTGTTATTTTAATACTATATAAAATCAACCTTTTTTCAGGTTTCATTTCCGGGTAATAAAAGTTATAGACTATAACGTGTTAGGTGAAGATTGAAGACCCTTTTCTTCATATGTTTTCTGGGATTTGCTCCGATTCTTTGGTTGTTTTTTAGGAGTTAGAGATTTTTGGGTGTTTTGTAAACTCATCAAGCGGGAATTTTTGAATAGAGATGAAAAAACGAGTATCAAACAAGGTTTTTGTTTGGAATTTCCCTTACAGACAGACCGAAATGGCAACAGTTTCTTATTTGCTCATCTGGGTTCTTCTTTGGCTACCTTGTTAATGGCGTTTGTGAGGTTTGTTCTCGCTATTTTTTTTCTTCCAAAAAACATTATTTGATCTTTTTTTGTTGATAGAATTACATTTTAGTGTTGTTTTGAACCGGTTATTTCATTTGCAAAGTTTTCTCGACTCTGCATGTGACCAATTCCCTTTCATGTATGGCGGGTTTCTCTTTTTCTGTGTTTCTCTGTGTTTGCTTGCTAAGAAAAATTATGAAAACTGAAATTTAGGACATTGTATTTTTGTATATATATATATATATATATATATATATATATTTGTAAAACTAGTTTCTCTATATTTGCATTTTCATTTCTTTCACTTGTTGATGTCTTTCTTCAAATGATTCAGAATGTGTTCTTAAGTTCACTCTGTTTTTTATTTGGTATAATTCCCATTTTACTCTGACGATCGATGTGTTATTTTGTTTTATTGCAGGAATATGTTTATAATAGGCTTCAATTCAGGTTCATTCTTCATAATTTCTTCTATTTTGCTCCTTTTAATTTTGATTTTTTTTCTTGACTTAAAATCTTTGAAACGTTTCAGCTATGGATGGTATTTTACTTTTATACAAGGATTTGTTTACCTGATATTGATACGGCTTCAAGGGTTTACTATGAAACAAATGGTGAATCCATGGAAGACATATGTGAAACTATCTGGTGTTCTCATGGGTTCTCATGGATTAACCAAGGGTTCATTGGCTTACCTTAACTATCCTGCCCAAATCATGTTTAAATCTACAAAGGTAACAACTCTGCAACTCTTTTACAAATTGCTCTGTTTCCTTCTTTTCTTCAGCTAGATAAAGACATGATTCCAGGGATAGAAGCAGAATTTTATGACAGGGGAGCGAACTTAAGAAGTTATGTTAGAAATTCAGGTGGTGCGAAATTAGATCATCCATAAAAAATACCTAAACTATGTACGAATTTGAAATTTCCATAGGTGCAACCGCACCTCCCAGCACCCCGTCGGTCCATCCTTGCATGTTTCTTGTGCTGAATTTTATTTTTCTTCCCTTTTCAAGCTGTTATATCGTTTCGCAATGTAATTTAAGGTGCATTTTCTTAATCTATGTTCATTCTGACTAATGAGTGTTGTGCTGTTGTATGAAAAATTTTCAGGTTCTGCCAGTTATGATTATGGGCGCTTTTGTTCCTGGACTGAGAAGGAAATACCCATTTCATGAATACATCTCTGCTTTGCTTCTTGTGGTTGGTCTTATCCTTTTCACCTTAGCTGATGCTCAGACATCTCCAAATTTTAGCATCATTGGTGTTATAATGATTTCGGGTGCTTTAATCATGGATGCATTTCTGGGTAATTTTCAAGAAGCCATTTTCACCATGAATCCAGAAACAACACAGGTTTAGCCTTGAAAATTCTCATTCTTTTTTTTTTGGAAACTTGGAACAAATAACTGATGAAGTAGTGCTCGTGACAATTTATTTATGAATATGGATGATTTATCTACAGATGGAGATGTTGTTTTGCTCAACTGTAGTTGGGATTCCTTTCTTACTTGTGCCAATGTTTCTAACTGGAGAGCTCTTTAAGGCATGGAATTCTTGTTCTCAAGTAAGCAGCAATGCCTTTTATTTTATTTTATTTTATTGATTGACTTCTTTCATGCACACCCCTGGCCTCCTGCACTGCCAGGGGCCGAGGCTGCATAAAATAATATTTTATTTAGGTGACCTAAACTTGAAATCTACACTTTTGAAGTGGGGGAGTTGTTTAACATTATTAATGTGAAAAATAACATTCTTATAAGGTATTTGCATTTACAAAATGACATACGTTGGGGACCATCAGTGGTTCTCTTGTTGTATGCGTGTGGACCTAGCACATGGAATAGAATGCACAAAGGCTTCTGATCCAGTTACACTGGTTGCATCTTGGTCCTTATTCCATTGGCATGATCCTAATAAACACTTGTTTCGATTACTGAAGTGCACCTTGATGGTTACACCATTAGATGTTTGTATTGATCATCGGGTTTTCTCTTTTATGTTGATCGATTGCAGCATCCGTATGTGTATGGGGTGTTAGTGTTTGAAGCCATGGCTACATTCATTGGTCAAGTATCTGTTTTATCCCTGATTGCCATTTTCGGTGCCGCGACGACTGCCATGGTAAAAATAGACTTGTGATCTCGAAACCACATCATGGTTTTCATCTACTTGACTTGTTTCCTGCGTTTGTAGATAACAACTGCTAGAAAAGCTGTAACTCTGTTGCTGTCATACATGATATTTACAAAGCCGTTAACCGAACAGCACGGTTCGGGACTGTTACTGATATCAATGGGAATCATATTGAAGATGTTGCCAGACAGTAAACCAGGTCCTAGGGTTCAAAGATCAAATAGAGACGCCATGATGCAACCAAAAGCCTGTTCTAAAGAAGTGGCAAGTGTAGAAGATGATGAAGAAGAAGAAGCAGAGAGAAAACCCCTAGTCTGAAAAAAACAAAGTGTGAAATTATTGGGGGGTTCAAGATTGACAATATGTATTTCAAACGTGTTTCTTTATATGGGAATCCAATGTATATTCAGATGCATTGTACACAGTGCTTTGATGTCGGTCTTTGTAATATTACTCTGCCGAAGGGAAGCTTTATCGCAGAGGTGGAAAACTCACGAATAAATTAAGGGTATCTATTTAGTCATCCATCTATTAATTTATTTTTGTATTAATCATTCAATTATTTTCCTTTTAAAATCATACTCAAACATATTTTTGGTCATCTGTTGTTGGAAAACTAACGGTAATATTGATGTATTTTTATTGATTTTTCGACCAATAAAAAAGTGACATATCACCATTTTAAGAGAATAAAATCAAATTAAATTATAAAAATAGCCCTCTTGGACCTTTTTTAAAATAAAAAAAAAAATCCCTCTTTGGACCTTGACTCTCTTATAAGGGGCACAAACCGGATTGGACCGGTTTCTGCCCAATTTAATATTCTTTGCATCATCGACACAACCCATATAGCGTGATTAAGCGTAGTCATCATATAGTATTTTTTTATTGGTTTTGTGCGAAAATTCAAAAATAGATCCCTATAAATTTATAGAAGTATATTTCATTATTATTTTTAAGAAAATACTATTTTTTCTGGACTAAAACCTCTGGAATATGAATATTTGTAGCTGTGAGCTACTATCAGGTGCATTAAACCAAGCTCAACTGCCCCCTCTTCCCCCACTAGCTGATTTGTTTGCAATGTCAATCAGCATATATATATATATACACACATTATTAGCAGGAAAAGTCTGGTAGGCAACGCCGAGCATTATTTACATTTGAATCACCAAGCTCCAACTTGAAGGAGCAATCATACAATTGGTTTCATTTTCTAGCCTTGTGCTTTTCCAGGTGGGGGAAAAAAAGAAGCAGTTCCAGTGCCATTACTTAGCTTGGCTACCTGCCCCACAAATTGGATTGTTGAATCAGGTACCACTGTCTGCAACATTTCCTCCAGCTATTTTCCCCTGAAAGAGTGGCACAGTTTAACCTGGTTTGGTTTGTTTCAACCGTACATTCCCCGCAAGCATGGATGAATCGAGGGGCTGACGGGACGATCGCCTCCTAAAGTTTAAAATTCTTATATAATTTAGATATTTTCTATTGATAATTTATTTTGGTACCTTAAAATTGTATAAAATCAATCCTTTAATATAACAGCTTACTTTGGTCTTTACCCAGAATCTATAATCTGTTCATGTATCTTTGACAAGGTGTTGGCCTTGCATTTTGCAGAGAATGAGTGTTGGGTGGTGGACACTTTTTGCAGCTGCCTTTGCCGCTGGATTTCTCTTCTTTCATGGTTTTGCTGCCACTGACACAGGTATATTCATTCAAATCTTTTATAACTAAATTGCCAATATAAGCATACTTTTTCTTCATAATTAAAGTTCATGAAGCTCAATGTGCTACTGTTCTTATTGCATGTAGAGTTATGAATCATAGACATTATAATAACCTAATTCAAAGTATTTTCTTTTTATAATTTGTTAGTTTAGTCAATCCATAATCACATATTAAGAATAATCAAAAATACTATTTGAGGAAACAAAATCTTCTATGAATGAATTGTAAGAGTATTTAAGTTTTTATTGTCAAATAATTAAAAAACTTTATAATATATGCGGCTTTGTAATCACCTTATATTAATAAAAAATAATAAAAATATTATTAATTTTTGCAATGCAATACATTAATTTAATCTAATTAATGAATAAGTACAAGTTAAGGTTTCTCCTTTTATCTTCCAAGTACTTGTCATGGTCCCCTTTCATTTATTACACCCTAAATCAAAGCTTGTTGCCAAATTAATGCCGCCCATACTGTTGTGCTTTATTTAGACTAAAAATTTGCTGTCCTTTAAATCCACATATTATATTATTGCGAGCGTGTCTTTTTTCTCTTCTCATCTATGATATATATATATATATATATATATATATATATATATTTCAAATAATTCCAATAAACCAAATTTTTAAATATTTTATTTTGATTACAAATAAAATATATCATTTTACTACCATACCATCGTTTTCATGCACAAATGCTAAAACGTGAGGCTTCTTAAACTGCAATGAATGTCATCCCTACCCATGCAGTAGGATGGACAGACAGCGTTAACAAGGACAATCATCGGTAGAAAATTTTAAATTTTTATATAATTTAAATATTTTATGTATTTTTATTAATAATATATCTTCATACTTAAATTTTTATAAATTCATTCTCTAACATAAAATACTTCTCTTATCCTTATTTACAGCTCCAAACTATTCATTCGTGCATAATGCGACGTCAGCTCCAACGGTATCATATTACGACTACATTGTTGTCGGTGGTGGCACCGCCGGGTGCCCATTAGTCGCCACATTATCTCAAAAAGCCACCGTCTTGCTCCTTGAACGTGGTGGCTCCCCTTATGGTAACCCCAACATAACTAAAATGACCAGGTTTGGAGCCGCCCTCTCCGATCTTTCCCGGTCATCTCCTTCACAGCGGTTCATCTCTGAAGATGGCGTGATTAATTCACGGGCACGGGTGTTGGGCGGCGGAAGTTGTCTCAATGCAGGGTTTTATACACGCGCCTCCACCGACTTTGTCAAGTAACTAACTTGTATATTGTAGGCTAATTCGATCAAGCATGAATGAATGGATTCATTTATTTTTCTGTTGTTAATTATCAGGCAAGCTGGTTGGGATGGACGATTAGTAAATGAGTCGTATCAATGGGTGGAGAAATTGGTGGCATTTGAGCCACCATTGGGACAATGGCAGTCAGCAGTAAGGGATGGTTTGCTGGAGGCTGGGGTGTTGCCATTCAATGGCTTCACTTATGACCATATTTATGGGACCAAAGTGGGTGGAACAATCTTCGATCAACAAGGGTTTCGACACACAGCTGCTGATTTATTGGAGTATGCTAATCCCAGTGGACTCACTGTCCTTTTGCATGCTTCTGTTCACAAAATCTTGTTTGCAGTTGAAGGTACATAATCTGATTAACTTGATCAAAATCCAAAGTTTTTTTGTTTTGTTGATAACCCACTTCATGGCATGTAAAGATGGACAAAGGGGACGGATGAGATAATCATCCTTGAAATTTTTTGAATTCTTATATATTTCAAATATTTTATGTTGATAAATCTCTTGTCACTCTTAAGATTTCATAAGTTCCTCCCATGAAAATTATGTGTTCGTCCATGATGGCAGGGAGAAAAAAACCGAAGGCTCGTGGAGTGGTTTTTAGAGACGCAAGAGGGGCAAAGCACAAAGCATATCTTAAAAAAGGATCAAAGAATGAGATTATTATATCGGCCGGAGCACTGGGAAGCCCACAGCTGTTGATGTTGAGTGGAGTCGGGCCTGCAGAACACCTCAAGTCCCACAACATCAGACTGGTGCTTGAACAACCACGGGTTGGTCAAGGCATGTCTGATAATCCCATGAACGCTGTGTTTATCCCGTCTCCTATTCCAGTTGAGGTTTCGCTTATCCAAGTAGTTGGTATCACTCGTTTCGGAAGCTATATTGAAGCTGCCGGCGGTGAAAACTTTGCCGGCGGTGCTTCCGCTCCTAGTATGTTTTCACCAGAAGCCATAACCGAAGCTGTCGAATACAGGAACAATCTTCAGGAGGCAGCACTTAGAGGTGGATTCATCATAGAAAAAGTCACGGGACCGATTTCGACGGGCCATTTGGAGCTTCGAACACGAAATCCGAACGATAACCCATCAGTTACCTTCAATTATTTCAAGGATTCACGAGACCTACAAAGATGTGTCCAAGGAATTCAAACCATTGAGAAAATTGTTGAATCCAAGCCTTTCTCTAAATTCAGATATGACTTTCTGTCTTGGCCGGTACTTCTCAATATGACAGCCAATGCTCCGTTGAATTTGTTGCCCAAACATTACAATCCTTCGATGCCATTGGAAGTATATTGTAAGGACACTGTGATGACTATATGGCACTATCATGGAGGCTGCCAAGTTGGTAAAGTTGTCGATCATGACTACAAGGTACTTGGTGTGGATTCTTTGAGGGTTATCGATGGATCCACGTTCAGCGTCTCGCCTGGGACTAATCCTCAGGCCACCGTAATGATGCTTGGAAGGTGATTAACTTTTAACATCTCGTCAGGATTACACAATGATTTCTAAAAAACATGTTGACTGCACGATGATTTCTAAAAAACATGTTGACTGCACGATGATTTCTGGAAAACGTGTTGACTACAGGAGGACTTCTCAATGCTACTTGCATGCACATTAGCTGGCAGCAATGCAGTCCGGATACAGGAGTTCCAGAAATCACCTTGCAGTCAACACACTCTCAATAAATCACCATGCAGCCTACTTTAAACCTTAAAATTCTTTGAATTTGATGACTTGTTTAACATGGCATGTCAAAGTGATGAGTTATGGGGATTAAATACGCTGGTTGTTTAATTGACGTTTATATTTTAATGTGATGCAGGTACATGGGGGTGAAGATATTGCGTGAAAGAGTAGCCAATTAAGAATCCAAGCAACTGAAGTTGGTTCGATTTTCTTTGTTTTGATTAAGAACTGAGTATTTACTGGTGCAAAATTTGAGGTTTAAACCATATGTCATGAGTAACAGTTATGAATGCTTGACATTGCAAAATCTTATGTGTTTGTTCTGCTGTTTATGCTAGTACTACTACAGCTTTATTTTTAGTACAAAAAATGGATCAGTGGAGGGTATATTACATTCATGATTATTTAATTATGGAAAGATTTTAATCAGACCACCAATATTTTAGATTTGTCAAAAAGCTATTTAACTATTCAAACGATATCAATCAAACCACTCACGCAAATGTTTAACAAAGAATGTAACATTTTAAAAAATAGTATAATTATATATTTAATACATGTTACTTGTATATTTTATCGATTTTGTTCCAATTTTAACTTAATTTAATAAATTAAATTCTCTATTCAGATGGTGATATGTGTCATTGATATCAGATATCATGACACGTGTCACATTCCGATTGGAGAATTAAATTTATTTTAGTTTAATAAATTTATTTTTTTCTAATAAGACGGTAAGATGTATCACTCTTTTATTGGAGAAAAATAATTGACATAAAAATAGGAGTAAGAGAATCAAACTTGAGTAGCTTGGGAGATCAAGCACACACCTAACTATTGAGCCAAGACCATTAGATGATCTATAATTGACGACATATATCTTGTCTCTTATAAGTTCATCACATTAATTTGGTCGAATAGTGTTTCAAGGAACCCCTAGCCCTAGATAATCATTAAAAGCGAAGATTAATCATGATCATACCTCTTGAACAAGAGCTAAAAACACAGGGCTTTCGGAGATTAAGTAGAATCAGTTGAAGGGCAACTCTCCTTTGGCGGGTTCTCGTTGACAATTAGATATTGACTTATCATCTACGAGCATTAACCTGCCAAGGGACAGAAGCCCTACAACAAGTTCACTTAGTTGATAATTTTCGTTTTCTTGTGGCACCAAAACAGAAGGTTTAAACTCCATTTCTGGTTTAAGCCAAAGGGTTCAGCCAGAGATTTATAGGCTCTTCTACCAATGGGATATGCTGTTTAACGCATAGCATATGCGGATAATATCCTTATTTGATGCCTGTTTTCTAAGCATTTTCATGCAAAGCAGAGGCTCCTTTTATATGAAAAATTCTATATTTGACAGATTCTATACTTAGCTTGATTTAGACACATGAATCAATGTCTCTAATATTTCTCTTTTCTTTCAGTTGTGTCCATATCCATGTCTAGAAGGTGAAGGCAGGATGAAAAGAAAAAGAAGAGTCGAGAGGAGATGCCTAGCTTTTTAGTATAGTAGGTGGCACCCAAACATAGGCCTAGAGGTATATCCCTTGTAATATTCTTTTCTGATTTACATCTGCTTTTCAGAATATGGAATTCCAAATTAATATGTAATCTTGTTTGTCTAATGAGATAATTTTCCAGGGGATTGTCACATTATTTGCAATTAATTTCCCTTTCCCTTTCTTTTTTGTATTAAGTGCCGAGATATATTTATGTTTTTATGGTAAAGGTAGAGATTTGAATTCATACAAGGTGAGATAATATGAATATTCTTGATCACTCGATCAACTAGCGAATCTCTGCAATTAATTTCTCTTTTTCTTCCACTCCGACATGCCTGCAAGCGAAATAAAATAAAAAGTTAATAATAATAAATGAGAATATATTTATTAAAAAAGAAGAAGAAGTTAATCTTAATTATCTATTTACAATTATCCAATAATCCTAAATTTATATGAAATTAAAAGAATTTTATATTATGTAAATAGATTCTAATATATATATATATATGGAAAGATTTTCATCCTATATACATATGCTTTGCTGTGATGGTTCCGAATGAAGATAATTTTTAAGGCCAGTGAACCTTGAAGTTTTGTCAAGTGAGCCTTGGAATTCTCATCTCTGTTTCCACCTCCTAAATGGGGTTTTCGAAGGTAAAATATTATCTTCTTTGCATATGGTTAATTCTATTATCATTTTTTCTTCTCATATTAATGATTTATTCGTCCACAAGTTCTCCGCACACTCAATGAAAAAACTTAAAATATTTAAGGTAAAATACATAAATGGTCTCGTAATTATAGAGTTATTTTGTTGGATCTTCCGTTTATCAGAAGTTATAAACTTATCATCTGACTATAAGGTATTTTTTTTCATGAGTTTCTCAACTATTAAAAGTTATAAAATAGTCAATCAACTATTTATTTGTTCCAAATTCGTCTTTTTTCATTAAAAATTGACGGCCGTCTGAGCTGGATGTTAACATACTCACTTAGACATGATAAAATTTGGTCTCAGAACTATTTAAGTTGTATTTTATGGATATACTCTCTGTTTATATTATACTGTCGAACCAGTGCTTGAAAGCAACGACAGTGCCAAATATCATTAAAATATGATTTTATCTTATCTCAGTTAGCAAGTTAATGTTCAGTCCAGGCTACTGACAATATTTTTGACGAAAAAGGATGAGTTTGGAACATATGAATAGTAGGATGATCATTTTGTAACTTCTAATAGTCAGTGACTCAACAGAGTATTACCCTATAATTAGGAGATTATTTTGTAATTATTAATTATAGAGAAACTCAACGAAACATTACCTGGTATTGCAATATTCTAATTGCAAGGACATCGCAGCAAGCCAGTCACAACCAAGGGAACTTATGCCCATAGACATGGGGCAATGAATAGTATTAGCAGGCTTCATGTTCATTGTACTGGAGCCTGAGATAACGACAGTGAGTTATATATTGGGAAAATGTAGTGTGAATGCTGATGAGTCGAGAATTCTATAGCACGTTATTTGAATCTGACGGGAATGGAAATGGATAAGGAGTTTAAACTCGAAGGCCTCAACTTCCATGAGTGACAAAATTATTTGAAAAAATGCGTCTTTCCGACAGGCGACGGTGGTGGAATCTGGTGTAAGATACAAGCATGATAGATCGAGATAATGAAAGAGGCAATTTTCTCTCTTAAAATTTTTAAATTCTTATGTATTTTATTTGTATTTTTTATTGATAATCTATTTTCATCTTAACATAAAATTTTATGACATCTCTGATAATATAAAATTCAAGTTGTGATTAAAAAAACATATAGATTTGAATGATTCCATTCTCAAGTAGAGATTTTTACATGCATATCTTTACATGTTTCGTAATTGTAAACTCTAGAGCACAGCACTTATTTCTTTGATGAAGTCAAGGATATAATTTGATATAAGTTCAATTAAGGTGGAGTAGAAATCTGTGGTAAATTAACTATAATTTTTTTCGCATTTATTCTTATGGTCAAAGGGAAGTGATTAATCTAGAAATTGTGAATTGGAAATTTGGTCCACAGTCACCTCAGGTTGAGTCTTTTTCATTGTCTGCGGGACTCGGATATATTTAATATTTATCATGCAAATACCAGCACCGATACGCAATAACGGTGGTTACTTTTCAAGCTTTATTGAGTTTGTTTTCCAAATACCAAAATCTTTGACAATATAACTGTGGCGAAACTCATAATACGAGTGTGTATGCATTATTGATAATTAATAAAGATTTTAAATAAATATTAATTATATTTATTTAAAAAAAGAAAGATTAGTCATGTAAATATAAAATGTAGATGAAAATATTTGATCTGAAAAAAAAATGGAACCTAATTTTTAATACAATGGCTATGAACTATCTAATAGCTATCTAAATTCGGAAAGACATGAACTTTGTTTAGTTATCTTACTATTAGTTATATAATATTTTAAAATAATTATTATTTCTAAAGTTTCTTTCAAAAAAAAAGGCTGGCTCTTTAAGAGAAATCTATCTTGTGTGTAAAACTATAGGCAAATTTGTTCTTTAACTAAATTTATTTATAATACTCTTGGATTCAGTATCACGTAACTCATGTAAACAATTTGATTTAAAAATTAAATGTAACACATTTGCAAGATGAATTTATTATATGATCTCAGTTGTAAAAAAAAGAATGTTATTATCAATGAAAGATATAAATTCGAGCAGCTACGTCTACAAAATGTGTATACACTGTTAATAACTAAACAAAATTATAAATATATAATACCTTACTGAATTCTTTTAAAAGATTGCTTTAGTAATTTGACTTTTGAAAAAGTAAAATTGCCACCTTCCTTATTAATTCACTTCTCTTATTTTCACTCTAAAAATCTGTTGAGTACAATTACCTTTAGTTTTCTTCCGACTATTCTTTTCATTCTGAAATTTTTTAATACGAATATATAAATAAATAATCATTTAATTTAAAGACATATATACTTTTAAAAAAGCTTTCCTTTTTCACCCCCTTGTCGTCTTGCTTGGATCCTCCAACTACTAAGGAAAATTCTAAGAAAATGAGTGTGGATACAATTCTAAACCCAAACTCAAACATGAAAGCATAATTATGTCATCATAAATTTGAGATTTCAGTATTCTTTTCTTGAAGTTGGAAATTTTAGTACTCAAATTGCAATGAAAGTTGTAAATTAAACGTTTAATTTGATCCTGTTGATGTAATCTATTTCAGCGTTTAACCGATAGTTATAGAAATAAAATAATAATAGATTATTTATAAATATTTTTTTAAGAGTGGGCACACATACGTTAATAGAATTTTATATATGTGTGTGGACATAATTAAAATCTCATGATGAGCATAATGAATAAAATAAATAACTAACATAAAGAAATTTGGATTTTAATATCTACAATAACATACATCAAAAGCTAATTGAAAATTGTGGCTTATCTATCAACACCTCATATGTTGGTGTAAATATGATAAAACCTTCACGTAAGGCAAAGGTTCACACTTGTGGTCAGCTCTTTCAGTACTGAATAATATGAATAATCTGCAACATTAAAAATCCATGGAAGGCAGGGTCAATTGAGTATGCTGACTTCCTACAAACGTGTCAGAATTGCTTACCTTGTAACACGACTTTTCGCATTTATGATCTTTGAAATAATTACCTGGAGTTTGCATATGACAGAAACTACAAGGGAAAAAAATACATGAACTTGTAGAAACAATGCAATCACATTGGTTAAGAGATGTTTCAAAAGCCTGTTCTTCAGGTTGTTGTCCCAATGCTTTTGTTGGCTTTCCCGAGTCTAATGCACAGATCCCTGGCAGTGCAGCGGCATCACGGCATGAGTTTGAGGTTTGCACAGCTAATTCTCTGTACCCGAATTCCCATTTCACCAATCATGAGTCGCTTCCTCCATTTGAGGAATCGTTTGCTTGTTTCAACAAAGTGTACCCTCAATATTCCCAAACCAAACAGGCTGACCATATCCGAGCAAAAGAATACTGTCATCTTTCCCACTCAAAGCATGTCTGTCTTGACTACGTTGGCCATGGCCTCTTCTCTTATTCTCAGCTTCAAACTCAATTTCCAGGCTCAACTCTTTTCCCTTCTTCATCACTTTCTTTAGAGCCTGCAATTTTTGATATTTCCTACAAGTCAATAAACCTGAATTCTCAGGTACTATATGGAACTAGGGAAGAATCACAATTTGAATCTGATATAAGGAAAAGGATCATGGCTTTCATGAATATCTCAGAAGCTGATTACTCCATGGTTCTTACTGCCACTCAGTCATCTGCTTTCAAGCTTCTGTCGGAGTGTTACCCATTTCAGTCTAGTAAAAATCTTCTCACGGTTTATGACTACCAAAGTGAGGCTGTTCAGGTGATGATTGAGAGTTCCAAAAAGAGAGGAGCAAATGTCATGTCGGCTGATTTCTCATGGCCAAATCTAGAAATTCAATCAGAAAAACTGAGAGGGAAGATAGTGAGTAGAAGCAAGTACAAGAGAAGAGGACTTTTTGTTTTCCCACTTCAATCGTGGGTCACAGGATCAAGATATTCATGTCTATGGATGAGTATGGCCCGGGAGAATGGGTGGCATGTGTTGCTTGATGCATCTGCGTTGGGAGCTAAGGACATGGAGACCTTGGGGCTCTCTCTTTTCAATCCCGACTTCCTCATCTGCTCCTTTTTCAAGGTTTTCGGAGTAAACCCATCAGGATTTTGTTGCTTGTTTATCAAGAAATCCAATGCTTCAATTTTGAATGATTCAGTCACTGCTACAATGGTGGGAGTATTGCATCTTGTCCCATCTTCAGGGCCAGCTCAAATCCCTGAAAAATCAGCTAAGGTTGATGAAGTAATGGATACATCCTTTGAATCCGGAAACTCAGAAATCAGCAACACCCCTAGAATCGAATGTAGAAGCTTGGATCATGCAGATTCATTAGGCCTGATACTAATCAGCAGCAGAACAAGGGGCCTCATCAATTGGTTGGTGAATGCGTTGATGAGCCTTAGGCATCCAAATTCAGAAAATGGAATTCCTGCAGTCAAAATCTATGGGCCCAAAATAATGTTCGACCGAGGACCTGCAGTAGCATTCAATGTATTCGATTGGAAAGGAGAGAGGATCGGTCCTGCACTAATCCAAAAGCTGGCTGATAGAAACAACATTTCATTGAGCCTTGGGTTTTTGCAACACATTTGGTTCTCAGATAAGCATGAAGAGAAGGTGTTGGAGACAAGAACAAGTGAAGCTGAAGGAACAACGTTAAGCAAAAAGAGCCACAAGTTTCCTGCTGGTATATCTGTTGTTACAGCTGCTCTTAGTTTCATCACAAATTTTGAAGACATTTATAGGCTATGGGCATTTATTTCCAGGTTCCTTGATGCTGATTTTCTGGAGAAAGAAAAATGGAGATACAAAGCTCTTAATCAGAAAACTATTGAAGTTTAGGCCCAACATTGATTCTTCTTTCATTCTTACAGACTATAATATCACTCGTCATAAGTATGAAATTCAACTTTAAAAAATAATTCAATGAACTATTTATCTTTTTTAACGTATATTGTTTTTATTCAAACATGTAATCATTTTTTTTTTCGATTTTACTAATTATAGAATAACTGGGGAATCATTGGCTTAGAGCTATAGTATACCTTTCAAGGATAAACTATAACATTTATAGCTTTCTTTTTTGCTTTTTTTAAGGTGAACGTAAAACATTTTACTTTTATAAGTTAAGAAGTATGTAAACAGAAAAATATCTCTCTAAATATATGTTTACAAATTATAAGCTCACAAAAGAATCAATGAAAAATATACAATAAGTTCTCTAAAACAAATATATACAAAAAATAAAATAAAATAAAGATCTAAACTATCTCTTAATTTTTAGGATGAGTGTTTATCCACCTAAATATATTTTCTAAATCCTATGAAAATCATGATTAATAATTGTAAAATCTTTTTTTTTTATGTTCTAAATCTAGTTCTCTAATGTACTTTGCATCTAATACGATAAATCAATCTTATTTTATCAATTTCTAGACTAATTAATCTTGTTTTGGAGAAAATTTATAGAAAATGAAATTTCTTAGAATTACACTAATCTTTTAGATAAAAATGATCTTAAAAAATTACGTTTAGATGTTTTGAATCAGATATAATCAATAGGTTAAAATTTAGAAAGGTTGATAGTGATTTTGATAATTCTAAATAATATTTTAATATGGAGAGGAAGCTATATTAATCCATTTAATTTAGTGATTTTCAGATCTTTTATTTGTTTTTTGTGATCATGTTTTGTGTAGGATGAGGTGGATTTAAAGTACTGGAGTTTGATTCCACCAATCAGAAGGTAGAAACTATCGTTTCAGAGTCATCGGGTTGTGCATCGACAAGAACTATTGAGTGCATTCATTTGCAATGCAAAGAGTTAATTGAGGGCTTAAGATTTCGCTAATCACCTAAATTAAGTCCCAAGTGTAACTGATGTTCTTCTTTTGTTTAATTTCGGTTGATTTGATTCATTAGAGGTATGCGTTGTGTTCTTGGTTATGAAAAGTTAATATGTAAACGTACATGTTCTGTTTTGATGCACAAGTTCTAAATTAGAATGATACGATATGAGACAATCTGACACTCATTAGTACACATGTTCTTTTATGTGGAAAGGCTTTTTCTTTAAACAACTTTGCCGGATGAAGGAGCAGGTTGATACGTTCATGGAATTTAAGTGGATAAATTATCATGTTACGAAGTTTTGGATTTTGGTAGGTGACTACCATTGATTAGAAACATACAGTTCATCTAAAATATAAGCTACATGAGAGTAAAGATGAACAAGAGACGAAGAAAATTGCTTAATACACCAATAAGCCTTTATGCTTTCCAGTGAGAATGATGGTGATTTGGACTGGCTCTTGATAGCAAGGAGATGACGGAGTGAAAAGCAGTTGCTGCAATTCTTGACTTGATCTGGCCCCTCTTTGGGATAGACCTTGTGCCGCTTGAACTCCTGCCAATCGCACTGGTTTCAACACCTTTCACCTTGTCCATGATGCACACTGGCATATTCTTTGAACAGCTACTGCTTAGAATTTCTATGTATAAAGATTGCAGAATGGCTGATTGACTTGCTTTGGTTGACAGTTTATATAGCACATCAATATCTCATCACAATACAAGGGGCAGGGATTTGAATACTATGGATGAGGGAATACGTATAGAAGTTGACCATTGGAAATTGGGGGAAGCCGGGCGACATGCCAGCCAATTTGTTCGGCTGTAAAGATTCCATGTGACCCAACTTGAGACAGTAGCAATTCGTGGTATCATTTGGTGGCTGTCTGAATTAGTTGTTTGGATGATAATTAATACCGGATCTGCCTTGCCATTAAACACGTGTGGTTTTCAAAGACATCTAGGAGCTCTGCTATGAATTATGGTGCTGGTTTCTGGTAATTTTTTTAGTGGATAAGTCGAATGTATGTTGGGGAAACGTCTGAATTATTGTAGACGTATGATTCGGTGTTCTGTTCTAAATTCCTTTTGACCGACAGATTTACTTGTTTAAATGCAATTTGCCCGGGTCTTGTGAAGCACGCATTGTATGGATGAATATTTATGCTTGTTCAAGTATATTGGTAATGTCATATAGCCAATAGGTGAAGCCACCTTGTTATATAATATATCTACTTGTTTCAGCGTCACATGGCAAAGCAGTTGATTAATTTTGATCCAGGTAGAATGCCATATACTGTATGAGTGACGTGACAGAGGTTCACATGCTACGCCTAATCGATGTATTCGGCGGCTACCTATAATGTGTTATGCATGGTTCATAGGTAGCCTCTAACCAAAATATAGTATTCTCTTTTATCTTTGATTAATCCGGTGCCTGTCTTACATTCTGACATATAGCATTGATAGTAAATAAAAACAATGGGGTGACTAGGGTTGTAAACTAGTCGAGTCGAGCTCGAGTATTGTTGAGTTCGACTAGACTCGAAAACTTTGAAATGGAGCTCGACTCGACTCGAAAACTCGCGAGCTTAAAATTTTCAAGCTCGACTCGAACTCGAAATCCTGAACTGAAGCTCGTGAGCAGCTCGAAATGAAAAAAATTCTTAAACTTAACTCGATTGAAGCCTCAAACTCAAACAAGAACCTTAAATACAAGAAATTTTACTGTATTTTAAAAAAAATCAATACATAAATATTAATATTATTAATAATTTATTTAAAAAAAAATAAAATCTTAATATATTATATTTTCGAGCTACGCACTAGCTTTTCGAGTCGAATATCCAGTAGTTCGTTTCGGCTCATTAAGAACTCGAGTCGAGTCCATTCGATATGAGTATTTATCGAGCCTTGATCGAGTCGATCTCGAGTAACTCTCGATCTGTCTCGTCTCATTTACAGCCCTAGGGGTGACATATCTACGATATTTTCTAAAAGCACAATGACGATGTTGAAAGGGATAATGTTTGTTGAGAGGAATAAATGGATTGTAATGCTATAAAAGGTTTATCTATTTTGATTTAGATAAAAAAAACGTAATTGGTGATGGATCATTTATTGATTAGTGTCTAAGTATTTCGTCTCCATAAAAAAAGATAAGATAAATGAATAAGGGTGAGGTGATCTAAAATAGGTTCCTCCTCGGTTGCCCTTTTTCTAGTTTGTCATAGTCGAGAGAATTTATAGTGATTATATGATAGATATTGTAGGTAACATACTAGATGGATATTGTTATGTGACGGTGGATTTGATTTGAGTGGATTATGTGAGTTTGTCAGAGATAATGTCAATAAATCGCGAGTTCTCGATATTTAGATCTTTTAGATCCCTCTTTCGGAGATGTTTTTCTTATGTCTTATGGAGTTCTCTGGGTGTCGAGGATTCGAAGATATTTTTGAGTCTTCCAGAGGCTATAAGGCACGAGAATAGTGTACAGAGGACCCATGATGAGGTACAATATTTGTCTCTATTAGTCGAGAGAATGTCATAAAATGACTTGAGCCGAGATTTGACCGTTGGAATGCACAACCCCTCATCTCGAGGCCAAAATCTATTATTAAGTCGAGGCAAGTTGTGAGATAACTATGAGTTTGAATGTTGTATCCCACTGGTTCGCTTTGTGTGAAGAACCATGGAGATGGTAGTGACGGGAATCCAGCTTGGTTTTACCTTACTCATGGTTAAGTTGGTTTATGAATTCAATTGTACAATTTACTGCATTTGCCTTGGCAAATGCACAAACAACTGAGTGGAAGTCTTTATGCTGTATTGCTGTTCTTTAATTTCTTCTCTTCTACGTGGAAAACCTTTTTCTTTGAGCAACTATTCCGGTTGAAGGAGCAGGCTGATACTTTCATGGAATTTGAGTGGATATATTGTCATGTTACGAACATTCGGATTTTGGTAAGTGACTACCATTTATAGGAAACAAACAGTTTATCTAAAATATACACTAAATGAGAATAAAGATGAAGGAGAAAAAGAAAATTGCTTAATAATCTTAATACAATGCTTAATGTGATCACTAATTACAATGTTTTAGTCCTCCCTTAAGTATGCCTTTCAGTGAAAATGATGGTGATTTGGACTGGCTTTAGATAACATTGAAATGACTGAGTGAAAAGCAGTTGCTGCAATTCTTGACTTGATCTGTCCCCTCTTTGGGATAGGCCTTGTGCCACTTGAACTCCTGCCAATTGCACTGGTTTCAACACCTTTCTCTTTGCTGTCCATGATGCACACTGGGATATTCTTTCAACAGCTACTACTAAGAATTTCTATGAATAAAGATTGCAAAATGGCTGATTGACTTGCTTAGGTTGACAGTTTATATAACACAGCAACATCTCATCAGAATTCAAGGGGTAATGATTTGAATACTATGGATGAGGGAATAAGTGTAGAGGTGGACCTTTGGAAATTGGTGGAAGCCGGGCGACGTGCCGGACAATTTGTGAGGCTGTAAAAGATTCCTTGTGACCCAACTTGAGACAGTAGCAATTCCTGGTATTATTTGGTGGCTGCCTGCCTTGTTATTAAACACGTGTGGTTTTCAAAGATATCTAGGAGCTCTCCTACGAATCATGGTGCTGGTTTCTGGTAATTTTTTTAGTGCATAAGTCGAAGGTATGTTGGGGAAACGTCTGAATTATTGTAGAGGTATGATTCGGTGTTCTGGTCTGACCGACAGATTTACTTGTTTAAATGCAATTTGCCTAGGTTTTCTGAAGCACGCATTTGTATGGATGAATATTTAATTATCTGGTTTCCACCATTCTGTTAGTTGCCAGGTTTATTGTTTCAGGACCAGTTGACAGATAAGGAGCATAGGGACGTTTAGTCCATGGAATGGAATGTAGCATTACTTATAGGAATAAGATTATCTAAATATAATATTACTTGATACATTAATAAAAAAGTTACGTTATTGTATTTGATTTGATTGATAGGAATGTAAGATTAC